AATCTAATATGTATTCTAATTCCGCTCCAACACAATCGCAAAAATGGAAATTGAAACTTTCAGAGTTCAGAATAAAAATATTGTTCTAAAATTACATAATTACAAACTGAAATCATCAAAATTCAAAATTTCCGTTCTAATTTTCACCCCTACTCAAACTACTAAAATGAAAATTTTCGGGTTTCGTGATTTAGAAAAAGTAAACTGAGAACTGCTTCATTTTTATATTTTCTTAATATATATGATTTACTAGAAGTTCTTGATTATTATTTTCGTATTTGATCAGTTTATTTTGGGCTGGTTTTATGAAGATGTGGTGTATCACTGTATTGCACTTTTGCCCCTAAAGGTGCCGTTTTTGCAATATACAGAATTAAGAAGTAAGGAGTGCTGGGCTGGGGCCGTTTCTGCAATTTACAGAAATTTTTGCTGGGCTGTTCTGCAGATTCGGCTAAATTGCATTTTCACCCCTATCTTGGGGCCTTCCTGCAATTATCGAGAATTACTCGACATAGGAATAGTAGTCTTTTTTTTTTTTTTTTTCTTTTAGCCCTATTTTTGGGGCTTTTTTGTAATAGATCATATAGGACTATGCTTGTCCCGTTTTTTTGTCATTTTTTTTTTTTTGTTTTTTCTGATAGTTAAAAAAAATCATTAAACGAAAGAGAAATTACAACAGTCTACAACAGGAGATCCATGATCACAAAAACAAGAAACAGGGATAGAACCCCAAGAAGCCAAAACATGTGCGGCGGGCGTTACTTTTGCAGTCCGATTAACCGCCTCAGAGGATGGATGAACGAATGAGCCGAATTGCTTCGAGGCAATCAGATTCTAAAGTGACATTTGAGACATCTAAGCTTTATCCAAAAATGTACATTCTTCCAGAATTGCCCGTGCTTCGGCAGCAAGAACATCCATGCACATGTGGAAAGCAGTATATGCAAAAATAATAGAGCCATTAAATACTTCACAAGTATTTAATTTTGAATAAAAAAAAATTGGCAAAAAAAAATAAAAAAAAATTGGACCAAGAATATCTGATGTTCTAACACTTGTTTGTGATGCGCGTACAAAGAATATAGTTTGCAAATTAAAACGAAGTGGACCAAGAACTGGTTCGAAAACTGGATGAAAGTCATCCGTCGAGTAACAATGCCTTCCAATCTTGTAGAGTAGCTGGCAAACTCAATGTAGGAAGCATAGAAAAACGAGGTCAAACTCATGTCATTTGAAACCAATATCTGTTATTTCACCAATTAGACCATTCTTTCAGGCGTTATCGAACTACCCTTTGACGACAGCACTCGTGTCACTTGAAACCAATCTCTCTTATTTCACCAATTAGACCAGGCGTTATCGAACAACCCTTTGACGGCAGCACCAATTCCAGAATTCCGGAATCTATTTTATCAACCTAATCAAATAAACTTGTGCACAAATATTCGATCCACTCGTGCATTTTCACAGACAGAATCAAAATTCCATGAAAGCAAACAAGACCATCAACTAGTAACAAAATTTAATCGAACATCGAACATTACTCAAGAAAGTCGAAGAATATATGAGAGGATCAAAAACCTAAACGAAATAGATTTGAGTTACAAAAAATCTTTGATGACAGCTCCGATTCCAAAATTCCAGAATCTGGATTATCAACCTAATCAAATAAACTTGTGCACTTATATTTGATCCACTCATGCATCTTCATAGACAGGCTCAAAATTGCATGAAAGAAAAACAAAACCATCAACTAGTAACAAAATTTAATCAAAATTCGAACATTACTCAAGAAAATCGAAGCATATATGAGTGGATCAAAAACCTAAACGAAATAGATTTGACTTACAAAAAATCTGTTTTGTCCTTTAAAATAAAAATAAAAAAAGCATAAACATAAATCTGCAGGGGGTGCGGTGCCGCCCTCCACTCACTTAGATAATCCCAATTTTGTTGGCAACGTCCAACGCATCGTAGTCGGGAGTCAACCTTACATAGGCTTTCTTCGTCCCATCAGGCCTGAAATTGAAATGTATCCATTAGACTCATACCATAAATAGACGATAATTTATCACGGATCAGAAAAACACTAATGCGAGTAAACAAGCATAGTAACTTTTATTATAATCAAATTCATAACTTTCAATGCAGCATTTCAATATTCACAAAATTAAATTTTCAATTCAGATTAAAATTAGCAAAGTCAATGATGCATGAATCGGAATTTTATTGCAACAGAAAAGAAACTAAATGCTGAAAACAGATTAGAATCAAACCCCAGTAACCATGTTGATAAACGGAGATATTCGTCATAAAAAAGAAGGAACCAAATATTATTTAAAACCACAGGCAATTCTACTATTTTAATGAGAATGTAACTTAAAATCGGTAAATTGGGTGAGTTTAAACATACAGAACTAAAACATACAACAAACGGCATTTCTTACAGAAAGGGAAAAAATTTCTCCGTACCTGATAAGGGTGTTGACTTTCTTGGTATGAATGTTGTACATCTTAAAGACAGCAGCCTTGATCTTCTTCTTGTCGGCACGAATGTCGACAATGAAGACTAAGGTGTTGTTGTCCTCGATCTTTTTCATCGCAGACTCGGTTGTCAGCGGAAACTTAAGAATCTGGTAATGGTCAAGCTTGTTGCGAGGGGGTGCGCTTATACGAGGGTACTTCGGACTTCTGTCCTTTTTCAATGTCCTCGGTCGGTAAAACGTAACCTTCGTGCGGATCTTCTTCGAAGATTTCTTAAAAGTCGCTGATTTTACAGCCTTAGCCGTCTTCAAGGCTTGCGCCTTTGGGTCCGATTTCTTGGCCTTATCAACTGCAATATATACATATACATATATAATTTTTTTAATTACAATAATCATCAGAGTGTAAAATCATAAAATCTAAGAGAGGAATAATTCGGTGAATTAAACACGAGGAATTAATTACATTACATATATATTTCTTTTTAATTATGATAACCAATATTTGTAAAATCATAAAATCTAACAGAGGAATAATTCGGTGAATTAAAAATGAGGAATTAATTACATAACAGAATACCACACAATTCATATTGAACATAAAATTGGATCATTTTCTTATATTTCGTATCTATCCTATAACGGTGTCGTTTCATTCATTCTAAAAAAATGAACTTTATAAACAGAATAAATTATACTGAATCTAAATTGTATGTGAACGGAAAACCAGATTTATATTCGTAAAAATGGATCGATATAGCAAATTCAGAACGGAAATCGGAAATAAAACTGTATAATTACCTTTAGCTGGCGCCATTTCCGACTGAAGCTCTGAAGATTGATAGTGTCAGTCGACTGCTGCGTGCTAGGGCTAGGGTTTCGGGAAGACGAAGATTGTTTAATTTATATAGATGATAAAGAAAGCCTGAATTAGGATTTTGCTTGGGCTTTAAATTCGGGCTTATGGGTCTTGGCCCAATTATGGTTTATTATTAAATTTTTAAAAATTGAATGAGGTATTTTATATTTTATATATTAAATATTTATATATTAAATATAAAATGTTTAATATAATATTTCATAAATCACTTACTCAAAAAAATGTATGATATTTAGAGCAACTCCGATGGAGTATCAAACTAAATAACTACCACTTTGATGCTTCAAAATTAAAAAATCATCATCCAATGGAAGCATTAAAGCATTAAAGTGAGAACTATTTTGATATTCAACAACTCCGAGGTTCAAAAATACTCTCTGGAAAATGAGGTATTAAAAAATAACCACTCAATTAACCTATCACTATTTGACACGTGTCATTTAATAATATAATTATTCATATATTTAAAATTTGATATCTATTTGGTACTTGTGGTTGGAGTGAAGTTTTTTTCTAGAAGTATCATAGTATTATATCAAGTATCAAATGAATGTTTAATATCTTTCCATTGGAGTTGCTCTTATGTTAATTGGATTAAAATAAAATTATGCGCCCTTAGCCACCAGTGATGGCAAAGGGTGCATAATTTTCGAATCACGGGGCAACGCGCCGCTCGTGGCTTGCTTCTGTCCGTGGAGACACCTCTGCCGTTCTTGGTTCTTCCTTTGTTTGCTTCTCCCTCCGCTTATCCATCAATTGGACTCTAGTGTTATATTGCGACGGGCTTCCTTGGCGTTTGTGTATTTTTCTGCTCTTTTCAATAGCTCGTTGAAGGATGAAGGGTCTTTTTAGAGATAGAGTCGAAGAACTCCCTCATCCTTAGTCCCTAGGCCAAAGCGTTAGTCAACACCTCATCACTGGAGGTTGCGATTTCTAGCGTCATTGCGTTGAACCTTTGGGCGTAACTCCGGAGGGGTTCATTCTCTTTCTGCTTTACGGCGAAGAGGGTGAGGGTGCTTCTTTTCTCCTTCTTTGAGCTCGCGCGCGGAGTGGTTTAGAAAAACGTCGCAGAGTTAGACGAAGTTGTCCACGGTTAGCTTTGGTAGCTGACTGAACCATCTTTGAGCTGGTCCGGCCGAGATAGCTTGGTTTGTGCTGATGAACCCCTTTTTGGTGCTTCTGTTGTGGGCCCCAGAAAGGACTGTCTTCTAGCATATGATGATATGAGAGCTTGCAGATGCTCTAGGGTCAAGGTAAAAGTGGAGCCCTTGGTATCGAGCAGAGAGCTTTCCCCACCTGATGTAGGTTCCACGCCCGGTCGTTCGCATGTTGGGCCTTTCATTGTGACTAGTGACCACCGGTGGAGAGGGTGTGGCCTCGCTCTCCATTGGTTTGAGAGGTTCCGGGCGATGCTTGGCAGTGAATTCATGACGATCGTTGTTGAACGTTGCGTTTCTTAGCGTATTTTTTTACGAGCGAGCTTGCCTGTTCGTCGTTTCCCACAGACGACGCCCCATTTCTTTGAATGCTTTGAATGAGAGCTCCCTTTGATTACTTTCTATTCAGTAAGTCCCTTTCAAGATCTCGAGCACAGCTTGACTCCTAAGGAGAAAGAAATCGGATCGACGTCGGAGTTAGAAAGGATAGTTTTGACTTACATGTGATGGATAGATTATAGAAAAACCTTTCTTCGCCGCGTGCGTCGTCCTTCTACGTGCGGTTGGACTCGTAATTTTCATTAGGCCTTAGTGGGCTGGGCTCTCTGATAAATGGACTTTGCTAAGTCATCTTTTATCTCGATCACTAGTCCACCAGGAAAATTGTGGAACAATGAAAAGAGCCATACCAAATATTTGAATTTTAGCTTCGAATGTTCTTTCTTGCTTTTGATTTCTTTATTTGTATTATTTTTCCTTTAATTTTCTTTTCATCGACTCACTTAGGTTGACAATTTTATATAACTTTCCTACTTTTTCTCTGTGTCATTTTATGACGTAAAGCACCATGCGGAATAAACTAAATTATTGAAATCTACATTATTATCTAAAATAATAGAAAATTGATTTTTTTTTATTATTTTTGTCATGATTTCTTTTTAATTAATATATGCAACGGATGGCTTTTGAGTCATGAGCATCGCCACTTTTGAGTCATGAGCATCGCCACTTTTTATTATTTTTGTCATGATTTTTATTATAAGATTTAAAAAAAAAATATTATCTCTAATTTTTTGACTCCCATTGTCTACCTATTTTTTTCATAGCAAATCTAGTAGATTGTTATTCAATCATAATCCAGTATTAAAACCAACAGATGAATTGTATCACCGTAAAAACTCTAACTTCAATTTCCGGCAATTTCTTATATTTTTGCCAAAAAAAATACATTTATATTTAACATTCACTACGAGAAAAATGAGTTTCTTTTTTTTTTCTTTTTCCACGTGGAACTTATCACACATGGTCAGCCTAGTATGGCTTACAACTCTCATACGATTTTCAAGTTATTATACGAGAGTGTAGACTTACCCAGTGCACCTATATGATTGGTTGCGGATTCATTCATTACCTAAAAAAAATGAGTTTTAATGACAACACAATTTGTCATATTAGATCATAAAATTGTAGCAAATAAGAGAGTGTCAATATAATTTGAAATTGTCACTAATATTTAAAACAATATTTTTAATATTATCACTCGTATTTGTTTTTTTATATATATTAATAATAATAAATAAACAAAACTCACGATCTAGCTATTGAACTATTACAAAGTGAGTACAATTTTTCCTATTTGAATCGATATTCTAACAACCAAAAATATAAATTCAGTCCCTAAACACTTGCTACTTTGCATACGATAGTAATAAATAAGTCCAATATATAGAATTTATAAAAATATTTATATCTATTCCAATTACTAAAATAAAACATCAAACATGCAGGAAAAAAATGTATAACTACCAGTTGAAATTTGAGGGTATACCCATATTTACACAATATATTAAAAACATGGGCAAATTATCGCCATCCCTGAGTTATGGTCAAATTACAAAAATACTCCTCATGTTTGTGTAATTAGAGCCATCCATCAACTATGTATTATTTTATAAAAAATACCTATACAAAGGTAAATTTATGGATGTTAAATTCGGTAAAACCGAACTAAAATTTCGGTATGCCAACATTTCATACCGTTACCGAACTGAGTATACGATTTGGCTCGATAAATTATCAGATTACAAAAAAATTATGTAAAAATATTTAAAATGAGGGAGTGGCTGTAATTACCAAATTTTTTTTTTTTTCGTAATTTGGCCACACCTCAGGGGTGGCCGTAATTTGCCCTAAAAACATTATAAAAAATCGAAACAAAAAAGAACAAAGAAAATTATTGGGGTCAGTAGTACACTATGCTTTAGTCGTCCCTAGGGATGGCAGCGGAGCGGCTTCCCTTGAAAAAGTGCAATACCAGAATCATTACCATGAATATCCGGTACTCATTTACCATTTAAATTATGGTAATAAAAAATAACTTTGGGTCCGATAACGTTTAAGCAACTCTCAGAAAAGAGGAAGAAAAAAAAGAAAAGAAAAAAAAAAATTATACAAATAAATTATTTAATAGCTTATTTAAAATTTTGCCAGATTATCTTTTTTATTCATATTTTGTTGATTTAATATATATATATATACACCCATGACCGTAAAGGTATGTTAGGAACATGTTCTTTCCAAAACAGCCATGGATTCGAGAAAACAATTTAGAACAACTGAAAGGAGGAAGAAATTAAAAATATTGAATAAGAACGGCTCAGTTCCCTTTTCGAGTGTTCATACAGTCGATCCAAGGTCTGGTGGTAACACCAACTGAAAACAAGCACCAAGCAACAACCACTGATCTAAAACCCTAGATCTGACCCCCAAACCTCACTCCGAGTTGACTCACCAACACATGCACAGTCAACTCGGTGGATAACTCACCCTCTCCACTCAGCACAAACCCAGATTTCTGCACTCAAAATACCGAAACCCTCACAGAAGAGGATTAAGGCCAGGGAAATCACAGTTTGAATAAAAGGTGAATCACACTTGTCTCTCTCTCACCACAGTATAAATACACGGAGGTTCAACGATCTTCAACATTAAAGGTGTTGTGACGGCAAGGACACCCATTGTCCGGCCAGACCTGCGATGGTGTCGCCGGAAAACGACAATGGGTGACGAAACACTGTAGAGAGAGAAGGGGACAAGGTGAAGAGAGAGAAACGACGCAGCAGAAGTATCCTGCTAGGGTTGAGAAAGATTAGAAGTATGGGGCAAATGGAGGGCTCAGATTGAAGCCCTAAAACAAACGGTTCAGATCTTAGTTTGACTGGATCAGTGGGCTTTAGTTGCATTGGGCCCAATTTCACAAGTTGGGTTGTATTTGATTAAGTAATCGGCCCAGATCACAAACAGATCATTTCTATTGGGCTCAAAACTTAAAAAGGTAAAACCAAACTCATACCAAAACCATGACGGTTTTCTTTTCTTTTGCCAAAACAATTATCGAACTCTAATGGTTTCGGTAACGGGGTTTTAAACGGAGCGGATACCCGCAGATAGCTAGCAGTTCGGATTTTTTTGCCATTCCTACTCGTTGTCCCCACAAATATTAAAAAGAAAAAGAAAAAATGAAAAAAGAAAAGTTATATATGACCTTTCAGGCTTTCAGGCATCACAGAAGTTCATATAATGAATGGTGTGTACGTGTATATATGAAAAAATGTTTTATATTATAATTTGTTTTTTTCGAGATGTAAGTATTTAGTGTAAGTTGACACAGAAGCATCACAATCACTATTGGAATATGCTCTTTAATTTAATCATTATTTAAAAAAGAAAGAAGAAGAAGAAAACATCGGTAAATATTAGAATATTCTTTTGGGGTAAAAAAATTTCAGGTCGGCCGGTTTTTCAGATTTGGTAAGCCTTCGCCATCTCGTTGAGCAGTAATCCAATTAATCGCACATTAAAAAAAAAAAGAAAAACAACTAAATTCGTTCGCTATGATGATCTTTTACGGGTGGAGTAAGTGAATGCGATATCTAACATTTCGAGTTTGATTTTTTTTCTATCAATACTTTCGAATTCCTTACCCAGTGTTTGTATAATGTAGTTTATATCATTTATACGATTTGCAAGTTATTTACACGAGAGTGATTTTTAACCGGTGCATACAAGTAGTTGCGGGTTCCTTTATAAGGAAAAAAAAAAAATTAAATTCAAGAATTGAGACATTTCAAAATTATAGCCCTTATATATAAAAAAGAAAAGAAAAAAGAAAGTAATTGCACTTGGGTGTCAAAAAATTGAATTTTCTAAATAATATAAATTTGAATGTGTAATTTAAGGGGATTGCAGCAAAAAAGTTTAAACATAAAGTGCCTTTAGAAAAATATAATAAACTAAAGTTATCAATTTATAAAAAAAATAGTAATATTTAGTCAAAATTGGATGAGAAAATGAAAACAGTAGGTAATTAAAATCAATTAACTTTAACTAGATTTCTTTATTAATAAAAGTAACATTTATATTGCATTTTTTTAATATTTTCTCAAGAAAAAAAAAAAAGAAAAAAGAAAAGAAAAAAATATTACACGTTAGCAGTTTTCGACATAAACGAGGCGAGGCCAAACAAACTACACAGAGAGTTCACAGCACGCACGCAGGATTTATCGTCATAAACAATTTTCTTGCACCCCAATCAACCTTAATCTCAATTCTCAACCAAGATCAACGGTTGTAATTAGCCTAACACTTCTACAAATACACCCCTAAAAACCCTTCTCCTCACTCACTCCACCTGTTCTTTCTCACTCTAAAATCCCCTTCCTTCTACAGATCTAATCTCACTTTCTCTCTCTAAAAATGGCCACTATCAAGAGCGTGAAGGCGCGTCAGATCTTCGACAGCCGTGGTAACCCTACCGTCGAGGTTCGTCTCCTTACCTTGTTTTGCATCTCTTTCATTGAAATCTCCGCCGATCTGTTCTCGATTCGTTCAATTAGACTGTTGTTTAAGATGCTGAATAATTTATTTTTTTTATTTTCGTTCAGAAGTAATCGGTTTCGGATTAATTGACAGAAAACGTTAATTTAATCATGCATTAATTGTAATCGATTTCGGATAACTGTAGGTTGATATACATCTATCGAATGGGCTCTGGGCTAGAGCCGCTGTTCCTAGTGGTGCATCCACTGGTAAGATCTGTTCCTTTCTTTTTTCTCTCTCTGGATTTTATAATTTACACACTGAAATTATTTAATTTATTTATGGCTACCCTAATTCAATGTGCGTTGATTTGATTTCTTCATTGGATAAATCTGTTAGGGTTTGTATAAGTATCTGTGGACTGGGATTTGTGTTGATTTATTGCGTTATATATAGGTGTTTACGAGGCTCTTGAACTGAGGGACGGAGGATCCGAGTACCTCGGAAAAGGTGTCTCAAAGGCTGTGGGCAATGTCAACTCTATCATTGGACCTGCCCTCATCGGAAAGGTTTGTTCTTTGCAACTTTTTTTTCCGGGTTTTCGATAAAAAAAAAGCCGATTTTGAAATGCATTGATCACTCCTCAGATTAGTGTGTTAACCAAGAATGAAGTAGCAATCTAATCTTGAATTTTGCTGATCTGATTGTGATTGTGATTCTATTTCAGGACCCAACCGATCAGACCGGAATTGACAACTTCATGGTTCAACAACTCGATGGAACTCAGAATGAGTGGGGTTGGTGCAAACAGAAGGTATATATTTGTTTATCAATTGCTTTGTTTGTCTGATTTTTGTTTGGGGTTTTCTTGCCTTAACGAGTATTTGTAACTGTGTTTTTTTATAGCTCGGCGCAAACGCCATTTTGGCTGTGTCCCTTGCCTTGTGCAAAGCTGGAGCTGCTGTCCTAGATATCCCTCTGTACAAGGTACATTTTTTTTTCCGATTTGTCCGCATCTCTGTTGTATGACATAAACTCTTACTGCATAAACTCTTACTGGTTTTGTTTATTAACGAAAACTTGACATTCAGTACGATGTTAGTTATATGCTGCACAGTTTCTAACATGGTTGCTGTTTCTTGTTTCAGCACATTGCCAACCTAGCTGGTAACAAGAAGCTGGTTCTCCCTGTTCCCGCTTTCAATGTCATCAATGGTGGATCGCACGCCGGAAACAAACTTGCCATGCAGGCACGTCTCTTGTAGTATGTGTATCGTATTGTCTTTTCTTTTTTTTCTTACATCCTTAATTAACACGAAAAAAACTTACGGGGTTGCAGGAGTTCATGATTCTACCGGTCGGAGCTTCTTCATTCAAGGAGGCTATGAAGATGGGTGTTGAAGTGTATCACCATTTGAAGGCTGTTATTAAGAAGAAGTACGGACAAGACGCAACCAACGTCGGAGACGAGGGTGGCTTCGCTCCCAACATTCAGGAGAACAAGGAAGGTCTCGAACTTCTCAAGACAGCTATCGCCAAAGCTGGCTACACTGGAAAGGTCAGTTCCGACTTTCGCTTCTTCATTTTCGTTATGAAATATTATTAAATAAACGGTACTGATGCATGGATGTTTGCTTCTGCCTAGGTTGTTATCGGAATGGATGTTGCTGCGTCTGAATTTTACGGGTCTGACAAGACTTACGATTTGAACTTCAAGGAAGACGTAAGCTATACTCTTGAATAATTACTATCTGTCGTGTAGCCTTGCAGCACTGTAATAATTGCGAAATTTTGTGTAACGGTCTTGCTTTTGTCTTTGGCAGAACAATGACGGATCAGCAAAGATCTCGGGCGACAAACTGAAAGATTTGTACAAGTCGTTTGTGTCTGAGTACCCTATTGTCTCGATTGAGGATCCGTTTGACCAGGATGACTGGGAGCACTATGCAAAGATGACTGCAGAAATCGGCACCCCAGTCCAAATTGTGGGAGATGATCTCCTTGTCACCAACCCCAAGGTGATTTATTCATGTTTTTGATTAATATTTTTTCAAATTCGCTGATTTGTTCGATTACTTTGCCGAATTCAGTTTTCCGTTTCCTCACGCCTAATTCAGTTTTCCGTTTCCTCACTTTCTTGATTACTATGTGTGCAGAGAGTCGAGAAGGCAATCAAGGAGAAGTCATGCAATGCTCTTCTTCTCAAGGTATGTCAGTGTTGTTTTGCATTATCCAAGCAAATCGAATTACTTATTAATTATTATTATTTTTAATCTGTAATTTGCTAACATTACGCGTGTCTGAATCCAGGTTAACCAAATTGGATCTGTGACTGAGAGTATTGAAGCTGTAAGGATGTCCAAGCATGCTGGTTGGGGTGTAATGGCCAGTCACCGCAGGTACAGAAACTTGGAATATTTATTTTATTTTATATATATATATATATATATATATATATATATATATATATATATATATATATATATATATATATATATATATATAGCACAATTGGCTACTAAAAAGTTTTTTTTGCTGAATAATAAATAATTTGTTTTCTTCTGGATGCAGTGGAGAAACAGAGGACACTTTCATTGCTGATCTCTCTGTCGGTTTGGCTACGGTAAATTCCACTTAAAATCGCGATTAAACCCTCTGTTTTATTTATTTGCAAACATATTAATCACTGTTGGGTAAATTATTATAGGGCCAAATTAAGACTGGAGCTCCGTGCAGATCAGAGCGTCTAGCAAAATACAACCAGGTAACCATTTATTTATTATTATTATTTTCTAAATTACTTCAATTTTGTTTTATATTTTTCGTGACAAAATAAATATTGGATGCAGCTATTGAGGATTGAAGAGGAACTTGGTTCGGAAGCAGTTTATGCAGGAGCCAACTTCCGCACACCGGTCGAGCCCTACTAAATCCCTTGCATTAGTGTGTTGTTAGAGATTTGCTTTCGGGATGCGGCTAAATAATGTCTTATGTAGAATGGGTCATGTTTTCGCTTTTTGAGACCTGGTTTTTGTTTTTCCTTTTCAAATAATTTGCAGAAATTTTGTTTTTGAATCATAAACTGAAATCCCTTTTACTAGTTAGTGTTGGGGAATGTCTCAATTTGATCTTAATGAATCCTGCAGCTTTTGTGTTTTTTTGCCAATGTTGAAATAGAACTTTCTTTCTATCTTAATTGTCGTTAAAATGCGTTCGTCGCTGTTGTGGATTTTTTGATTGCTTGCTATATTTGTTGTCAAATTAGCTTTCTTGAGAAGTTTTATGCTTTCAAACAATGGTGGTTAAACTTGCGATATATCACAATACGTATTGCGATAGGCATTGGTCTAAACCAAAATGATACAATTCGCCCTCTATATTGGTTCTTTAGAAATATCGTTAAATATTACGATACAATGCTATTGTTTCAATACAATTTTTTTTGAACAATACTTTTAATTTCATTATTCAATGAACTTAAAAGGCTTGCCAAATTTCATTTCCAGTCTTCTCCAAAATGCTCACTTCCCTTCTTTTCAACATCGATGAAGTCAGAAACATTTTCTCTTTTAATTATTTCACTCAAATATGTCGTCATATTCGACACTACAATTTTTATTTTACACCACATACATATTTTAGGGGTGTAAACGAACCGAGTAGAGCCGATGGTATGATTGTTCAAGTTCATTTGAAGAGCTTTAATCCAGTCGAACAAACAAATTTTATATTTATTTTCTTAACTTTCTTTTTTTCTTCTTCTAATCGAGATCGAGTTAAGTTTCATAGTTTATTGAATGAAAATAAGCTATGGTTTGTTATCTAAATAAATCAAAGTCAAACGAGCTCTTAACGAACAACCTCGAATCGAGTAGTTTGATTTGATTTTCAGCCCTACATATTTTATAAAAAAAACACCACTATCAAACAAATACATAGTATATTAGTATATCACCGATTTTATTTTAAAATATATATAAAAAAAGAAAAAAAGAACTGCTGGCTATGGGGTTCGAACCCATGCGCACTTATGTGCAGAAGATCTTAAGTCTTCCCCCTTAACCTCTCGGGCAAACCAGCTGATGTTATTATTTCACATTTAACTAATAATAATTGTAAACAGATCATCTCGAAATCCAATTATATTGTCAAAACAAATAAAAATTAATTAATTAATTAATTACCCGTTAGTTAAACAAGAATATCTATATTAACTTGAGAATTTTTCAATGTTTTATGAAATATTGCAGTAACTTTTATTACGATTGTTAATTAAATTATTAACTAAATGGTATAAATTAGTAAAATAATACTATCGGTTAACAATTAAAACCCACAATATAAACTAAAGTATTTAATTACTATCATTCAATCAATTTAATAGCTATCGACATCATGCGCTTCATTTTCGAGTTTCTAAAAATCACCGGTCCCACAATGCTACACCCGATAATTATCACCCGGTGCCTCTCCTCTTCGCCATATGTTGGTGGTTTATAATAATGTATTAATTGTTTATATTAATTCATTTTATAATAAGGAAATTTCAGTAATGGTTATGATTCAAGAAGTTTGGTACAATTGCCCTACCAAACCCATGCCTAGTCGAAACTTGAATTTTAATAAAAATAAAATTCATGTTAAACTGGTCTTTTTCGAATGGATACATAGTTGTACTATGGCCCAAGTTCCAGATCAAAGTTACAAATATCAAGTAGTCCTTTAGATAACGTACGTAACTATACGCAGCAATTATGTGCGACGTCTATAAGCAATAGCAACGAAAGAGGACATTTAATCGATAAATAAGTAGACAAGAGATATGAAGACATCATCATACGATAAACTAATATAATAATAATAATAATCATCCAAAATTCATCAAACATAAACAAAATAAACCCCATCGCACTATGATAGTCATACCGCAGCGTTTACAAGCATGAGAACGAACACAAATTACCTTCTCAACAATTTCCATCCGAAAAAAACCTCTATCAAAAAGCACACGTAACTAAAATTCCAGATTACTTTTTGTCGCCATGCTTGGCTTTAGAATGCGATTCCAGAGCCTTTTCGGAACCGAAACCCCTGTACACGGAAAAGAATTACCTCGATCAATTATCATTTCTTTTCATTAATGTATTAATTTATAACCACACCAAGAAAGATACACGTACTTGCTGCAGCTCTTGCAGGTAATCGACGATGATCCGCCCGATTTAGGTGTCTGCTGATTAGGCTTGGGTGTTTTGTCAGCCTTCTTAGCTGGGTGAGGTGTCGCTACATGACCACTAACTCTCTTGCCGTCTGAACAAATTAAATAAATGATTTTAAATAATGCTCCGAAATTAATGAATACTAATATTTACGAAGAAAGAGAATCACCAGTTTTTTGGGGAGTCACTTTAGCCTTCTTGTCTTGTACAGGAGTTTTTGTAGCAGATTCTGCAGCTCTCTTCTTACTTGGCTCAGCCTTTCAGTCGGGAAAATAAAATGTCAAAGCCCTAATTACATTAACGCAAAAACTTCGATCCATATATATAGTTATATATATATATATATATATATATATATATATATATATATCACTACATCATGAGATGCAATAATACCTTCTTTGGTGTCTCCTCGTCACTCTCACCAGATTCATCCTCGGAGTCGTCAGAGTCCTGCAAGTTTGCAAAAACTCAGCTTATATTTCAGCAATACATTTACCATCTATACGAATAAATTTATCGACCAATTATTAATCTCTAAAATTACACAAGAACCGAATCTTTAAAAAATCGTCAAATCAAATTTCGACAACTAATTGTCAATCTTATAACAATTCTTTAACTTAAATTACTGATTTTTACTCCTCAAAACAAGTTTTAACTCAAGAACTCAAAAAAAAAGAGAGTACAGCACAATCAAACCTTAAACTCCCAACAACGGAAATTATTCATCTATACGAACGCATATACACATATATACATATAGATACAGTTTAAAGTGGATAGTTGTACCTCGGAATCGTCATCGTCAGACATCAAGTCATCATCGCTAGACTCGTCTTTCTCCGGCTCCACAATCTTCACCTTTTGCTTACCAGCATTAGCTTTCACAGCATCAGTCTTCTTTTCTTTCGCAGCATTCGCTTTCACAGCTTCCACAGGCTTCTCCTGCTTCGCCTTCCCTGTAAATAAATATTAAAACGCAATCTCAAATTTCCCATCGAACAAATTTACATTAAAGCCATTACACCACACACACCAAATAATACCATTATTTTGAACTTGAACTGGGAGTTCCTCCTCCTCCTCCTCAGACGACTCCGAATCAGACTCACCTGCTAATATAGATACACCGATATATCATATATACGAAGACATGTAATGTATAATTAAAAAACAAACAAACAAATATATATATAAATACCAGATTCTTCTTCATATCCATTATTAGCCATGTAACCATAGAAGTAGACACTCCCAGATTTCCAGTTGTGAGAAATCTGAAATTCTTGGTCGAACACCAAATCGAACTGCTGCTGAGGCAACTTCTCGGTGAAGAGTGTTCCGAGAACAAGTTTCTTTCCATTAACATGAATGAACAAGTAGACAGGTTCATTTGTTTTCCCATTTTTCACCTCACCAAGACAAGCCTGATAGTTCAAAATGTATTTTTTTCAGATAATAATAATTAAACAAAAAAAAAAAAACATTTTGTCGAAATTTGTGTTAGACCTGAGAGAGATGCAAAACCATGCCATCATCGGGTAAAACCGTAAAAGGCTCTCCACCTTTCACCTCAGCACCTGTGTTTACACAAATTCAATAAAACCATTTTTAAACCCCATTATATATATATATTTGAAGACAGGGCAAACCAGCACTTAGAACAGTAATTAAAATTTTAATTTTTTTAAACATATATTTAAATCACTAATAAATAAGCCTTCACAGCTGTAAAATAGAAACGCAACAGGTGAGATTGTTGCGCAATCCATAGCTGTTCATCATTTTCTAGGGTATACGTTCGAAAATGAAAACCCCCAAATTGACGAGCACGAAAAACGGAAAAAAAAAAAAAAAAAACAACAACGAACAAATGAAAACAAGAAAAAATATGCAGTAAAAAATGAAATGAAATGAGAGAGAAAAATGAAATGAGAGGGAATGAGACTCACCCCAGAACTCCATCGCCGAAGAATATGAGAGAATGGAAGAGAGAGTGAAGGCGGGGTTTTAGAGAGAGAGAGAGTGAGTTAGGGTTTTTGAGAATAGGTGAGGCTCAAAAATGAATTTATATAGAGGAATGGGTTTGGGGTTTGGGGCCTTGGGGGTGTTAAGTGTGGTTTGGGCTATTATATTTTTTATCCATTTTTTAGGCTTTATTTTTTATTTAGTTTTGAGAAAATGTCTTGGGTTAATTGGATAAAAATCCCCAAGTTATATTAGGACCAGTTTGGCTAAGTTTATTTCAAATTAACTGATAAGCTCTTGCGTCTTATAAGATATTTTAAGAGCTGATAAGTTGTTACATCTAATTTTAAAATTAATATTTAAAGTGTTTGGTTAATGATTATATAAATGATTTTTACTCATTATAAGATCTTAAATAAAAAGGTGGAGTAGATATACTTTTTTAAAAAATATCTTATTTGCTTTCAAACAGTTTATTTATTTATTTTTAAATTGATATCTTTTCTTAAAAAAAATACCAAACACATCGAAAGAGTTTATTAACTCTTAAACATCTTATAAGCTCATTTTCACATCTTATAAGCTTACCCAAACTTTCCGCTTA